TGATGTTTCTAATTCTCTATCCCTCTCCCCTCCTCTCTGTAAAAAATCAATAAAATATATTTTTAAAAAAGAAAGAAAAAATAGATAAATTTGACTTCATCAAAATTGAAAACTTTTGTTCATCAAAGGATACTACCAACAGAATGAAAAGGCAACCCACAGAATGGGCCTCTTGCATTTTGTGATGAGTACATTAACCATCCAAATAAATCATTTTTTTTTGTTTTAGTGTGTCCAATTCTAAGTGGTCCCTGGGGATGCTAAACCCAACCCAGCAATACTGCTGCCGAAACAGAGCTCGTTGATGTCTAATTCTCTATCCCTCTCCCCTCCTCTCTGTAAAAAATCAATAAAATATATTTTTAAAAAAGAAAGAAAAAATAGATAAATTTGACTTCATCAAAATTGAAAACTTTTGTTCATCAAAGGATACTACCAACAGAATGAAAAGGCAACCCACAGAATGGGCCTCTTGCATTTTGTGATGAGTACATTAACCATCCAAATAAATCATTTTTTTTTGTTTTAGTGTGTCCAATTCTAAGTGGTCCCTGGGGATGCTAAACCCAACCCAGCAATACTGCTGCCGAAACAGAGCGCTTTTCCACCTGTCGTCCAAGCCTCGGAGTGTTGTTTTGCTGCCCTCCATGGTAGCAAATCCTCAGGGTGAAACTTAACTTTGGAAACAGACCCAAGTGGTTCAGAGCCAAGTCTGGTAGAGATGTTGATTTTGACTAGAGAATAGGTGGATTTATTTATTTACTTATTTGCTTTCTGCCTCATTTCACAGTTACATTGAGCTGTCAGAAGAGCAATTTTGTGTGTGTGTGTGTGTGTGTGTGTGTGTGTATGTGTGTGTGTGTGTGTAAACTTTTTCCTTCATTGTTTTACAAAGTGCCATGAATATCTCTTCCATGCATATGGGTGAAAATCCCCTACTGATATAGAGCACTGTATAGTTGGATAAAAAGGCTGCTGGTAACAAGAATGACAGACACCTGAAGCAAAGTATCAGCTTAAGGTGAAAACACATCACCTGGCAAATGCCCACCAGAGAAAACAGAGTTGAAATATTCTTACCAGAGAAATCAGAATTAAAGTCCAAAGGCTTTAAAGTATGGGATATCATGTAAGTCCCTTTGGGTCCTATCTCCACCCCGCACTCCCCTGACACCCCATTAGCCCCTTGGTAGGAATGGATCCTGTACATCTCTTTGCATCCAATGAAAACCATCCGTTCTTGTTTTTTTTTTTTTTCCCTTAGCTCTTCCTGAGCCCTTGAGGTGTCTGCACATTTCCTCATCATCTCCTCACTGCCCAAATGCCTTCCCTGTAAGTCCTCCTGATAGTCCTTGGGGGAATCATCTGTCCCCCCATCCGTTTTTGGTTTTATTTTTCGGGGCACACAATCTTCAGCCGGGCGCTCCTTGGCAGCCCATGGCTGGCTCTCTGGCTTGGCCTGGGTTCTGACTTGCCCTCACCTGGTGCTTTTCCCTCACCTTCCGACTTGCTCTGCTTTTTTGTTTCCCCTCATCATCTGGCTGTCCCTCATGTTGGTGCTTTTCCGCATGCTCTGGCTTCCCCTCCATTTCTGGCTTTTCTTCCTCATAGACTTTTCCTTCATCTTGTGTATCTACATCATCTTCAGTCTTTCCCTCGCTTTCCAGCTTTCCTTCGTTTTCACTGTAGAGTTTTTCCTGCTGAGATAGCCCCTCCTTTTCCTGTCCTGCAGGGATTCTGGATAGGTTCTTTCTCCTTTTCTAGCCTTGCAGAGTGCTGGGGACAGACACGCAGACCTGTGGACTGGGCCAGGCCTGCACCTCCTCGTACACATGAAGCTGGCTCATCCCTCACCTGCTGGGGCAGCTCAGGAGGTTGGTAGCACATGGGCAACAGGAGTGGACAGTGAGGGGTAGAAGGGCAATTTCCTTCTCCATGAACACTGCTGTCTCTCCATAGCAGTAATCCCAGTTCCATCCATAAATCCCAGGGAAGGTCTCTGATTGGCCTTGCTCAGATCCAGCACCACCCTTTGAGCCAATCACTACAGTAAGAGGGATGCAGTTCTAAGACTGGCTGGGAGCTGAATCACTTATCCACTCCTGATGTGTGTGTGTGTGTGTGTGTGTGTGTGTGTGACATTTTTTACCAAAATAAGGAAATGAGAAAGGAAGCTCACAGGCTACTTTGAACTACAACAAGGACAAGGCTGCCTGGAATGTACTAAGAACCCACATGGTCTCCAAAATTCTCCAGGAGTCTAGAATCTAGATTGGGAGACAAGACACAAAAATAACCAGAACGCAACAGCATGCAGTGACTCCAAGAATGGATAAGAATAGCTGGAACTCCCCACCGACCTCATAAGCTTGTCTCTTGGGTAAAAATTAGACACATAATGTGAAAGGGCTTTGAAAAGACAGCAGTAACAAAGCTCTTTAAGATCACCTGGCACATTCACACCCACCCTGGGGACAAAGCACGGGCTCTGGAGTCAGACTGCCTCAGCAGAGTGGCATAGGGTACGTGCTTCGTACACGTAAGGTATTATTATTATTTTTGCATATTGTTACCTGAGGCATGTATAGGGTAAACATGGCAAGGCTAGTATTCTCTCTCTATAATGAGGACACTGAGAAGTAAAGGACGTGTCTGCTAGTAATTAGTTCTGCTGGTGATGGCAGAGTTCGGGAAGGACCAGAACTCTATTTCCAGGATTTGCATTCCAAAAGGGTCAGGCCTCAGAGAGGCCTGTGGAGTGCCAGGTGGAGGTGTGGAGACAGCAGTGTTCATGGAGATGTGGGCATGTCCTGTGGGGTCAGCCAGTGCCTTGCAGATGGGTAAGACCTCTGCAGGGCTCCATTCCTGCTGGGGACTTAGAACACTGTGGGGGTGGGAAGTGAGTGGGGCTTAGCACCCCAAGCCTTCCTCCACCATCTGACACCCATGCCCCCTCCTCAGGTACCTGGCCCCCACCCCCGAGCTTCTCTTCCGTGCGCTTGTTTACCGGACCCATGCATTCTCCTCTATAAATACCAGCTCTGGTATTTCGGGTTGGCAGCTGTTGCTGTCAGGGAGATGGCTGGGTTGACATGCGGCTCGTGACAAAACACAAACCCCTGGTGTGTGTGGGCATGGGTGATGTGGGTAGGCCCTACCCGGGAGTGGGTTGAGTCAGGGGTGGAGTGGACACAAAGGGGCAGAAGCCAGGTGAAGTTGGTGGTGTGGGGGTGAGAGTGTCCCTAGCCATTGGAAACTGAAAGCACACCAGACCATTCTGGGAAATCACCCTGTTGTTTATAAACTTGAGGCCATGTCCTCATCAGTAGGTGGGGAGGAAAAGGCCTATACTAGTCTAGGAGGAAACTGAGGCTCAGAGCTAGAGCCCAGGTGCCCATGGACAGCTCTGGCCATGATTGCTCTCTGGCCCTAGGGCGTGCTCACACTCTCAGGCCTGCCTAGAGACCCTCCTCCTCTAGGTCTGGCTGAGCTCCCCCTCCCCCCAAACCTCTGCCACTTCCAGAGAATCTGGAAAAATGGTGACTTGGAGCCTTTCTTGGGAACAGGCCTTGTTCCTTCAGGAAATGACCCAAAGTCTCACCTTGGAGACTTCAAAAATGAGACCCTCAGACTAAACGGAAGCCTCTCCCAGGCTCTCTCCCCTGACTACCGCCAGTATGAGGCCGGCACCCAAAGGCTGAGGGGGCCTGCCTGGGGGTTCCGGCGTGCTCGCTGCCCTGCTGAAGCTGTTGGCAGGCCGGCCACTCTTCTGCCCTCCTAGGTGGATCAGCCTCTCTCACACCCCTTACGAGCCCCCCACAGGCCTCTTGCTGGGAAGCTGGGCTCCCCGCCCCCTCGCCAGTGGCCGCCCTTTCCTGGCAGGACAGCCGGATCCTGCAGCTGTCAGGGGAGGGGTGGCGGGGGCTGATGTCAGGAGGGATACAAATAGTGCCGGCTGCTGGGGGCCCGGTGTCCCCTGTCGAATCCACTCTCCAGCCGGCCGCCTGCCCGCCGCCTTCTCTTCGCCTCCCAGCCTCGCCCGCGCCGCCACGATGAGCCAG